ACAGACACACACATTTCCTCCGTGCACCTCCCTCTTCCTCTCCTGTCTCTCCGTCTACTTCCTCCATGCAAGACTCAGGGGAGCAAGTCAGATTCATTCAGGCTCAGGCTTTATATATAGATACAGTGACCTCATGCCAGCATCTCAAAGCCGCTTCCTTGTCAGTGTTTGACGGATGATGTCTGGCATTGCTGGTTGGAAATGTCACTCAGTAAAAGCTCACTTGGACTTGGTACTGACTTTCACTCCACAGCTGAGATATGTAGTGTATGTTGGACCGTTTCTTTATATCATGACAAATTCACACTCTTAATAAGTGACTTGACTTGGTTGCTACTGTGGATTCTTCTTCATTTCTGTGACGAACAAAAATAGTTTTAAAATATTTAAAAATTATTCCCATTTTTTGCCATGCAATCTGACCTCATAAAAACGTTTATTTTGACACACAAGTGCATTTAAAAACACATTTTCTACATTAAGAGACCAAGTTAGCGACCTATATTCTCTCCTCTTTCATCGACATTTTTTAATAAGGCTGTCAATCCGCAGACAAACCACTGTGGTACGTTGCACATGTTTTATTACATTAATCAACTGGGAACGGCACTGACCATTTTAATTTCATCTTATGATTTTGAATCTTTTTTGAATTGTTACATTGAACGCAAATGAATTAACATTTTAGAATAATACAATGTACAGACACCTGGATAACCTGCACGATTCTACCCAAAAGGCCTCAGCTTCTTCTGCTGTCCACTTCATTCAGCAGAGATCTCCAACATAGTTGCATGACTTTGCAAACGTTTTTTGTACTTTTTACAAATTGCACATATCGCCCCCCACCCCCTAACCCCACTGCTTTGATGCTTGTTTACTGTTGATTTATCCATGCCCATCTTTGCTCATCAAAGTGCAGACGATTCACACCATTTACTGGAAACTAATTTGATGCCATTACAGTAAATTGTGCAGGAATGTGCATGCTGACACATAATTGTTGCGAACATGTTAAAAACAAGACCCCCCCCCCCCCCCCCCCCCCCCTCCTTCAACCAGAACATAAAGTATGGCAATAAATTAACTGGTAACTGTTTTATCCAGAAAATGTGTAGATTGCTTTCGTGCATGGGAAACTGCCATAGCATTTTACACCTTTTTGATAAAATAAATCATAAATATGTGTTAATAGTCATCTTATGGCATTGAGACCTGAAGGCATACACCCTGCATGAGTTGTTAGCAGTATCCCCTCCTCTCCCTTTCTCCCTTCCTTCCATCTGTCCAGTTAGGAGGCGTGTGCTTGTCAGTGAAGGCGCCTAATTCACTCGATGAGACGTGGAGCATAAACGCTTCCCTGGCAATTAGAAAACGTGCGTATGAGAGCGGAAGCAGTTGAAGCTTTCGGGGCACCGCTGTCAGATGTCAACAACAGCTCAGGGGCAGGAAGTGGCACCGTTTGGGGCCAACTTAGTCCCTACGAGGCACCTTCCTCCTCCTTCCACCAACCTCTAATCTCTCCGTCACACATACACAAACGCATGCTTCAAACCTTCTCTCTAACCAGTTTATCTTTCTTGATTTTTAAACGACAAGCAGGAACCCTAGAATTAAAGCTTTACTAACATTATCAGTGATTGTTGGACACAAGTAAAGCTCAGAATCTTTGAGGAAATGATTGTCATACGTTGTGTGCTGTTTGCCCTTCTAAATGTTAGTTTGCATGTGTAAACATTAAAAACAGCTATAAACACTTCTGCATTCAGATCTGGTTAAGCAATTATTTTCTTTGCATAACCTGGCCTTAAGACAGAACACGATTGTATGTCACTGTATTTGAACCCTGAATGGAGTACAGAGACTAATCACACTCTGTATTGTGTTGTTCCACTATTTAGACAACTGATGCTATAATGCCAAAACACGAAGGCTCTGCTTTTAATTTTAGTTGTGAAATCTTTGCAAGCATTTGATTTTCAGTTACTGCTGATTCAGTTTTGATTATCAGATATATTGAATCAGGACATATTTGTCAATCTAAACTTGAAACCTTAAACCCAATATTATACATACAATAAATGTCAGTTAAGTTATAATTGTTCTAAGTTCTTCTCAACCTGTGAAAACAGTTATATTGTCTTTTCTGTATCTGCATATGGAGCTTCGCCATGTCTGATATCATCAGGGTTAGACGCGTAAAGTAACCTTTTCCAACCGAAAGATGGTGTTTCATTGGAAGCAATTCAAAGAAGTGAGACAATAACATTTATTTTGTTTATTTGGTGCGATACAAACAATCACACATCATATTAATCAAGTCAATTCAAATCTGTAAACATGATTTAGTCTTTAGATCTCATGGCAGTGTTTTCAGGTGTGTTATTGTAAACTCTTTCTCCAATTCTCTTGAGCAAAAAAAATTAAATTTGAATTACGTAACTTTTATCCACTCTGGAGACGATTTTTTTAAATGTTCTTTTTGGCAACAAAAAAACAACTCAAAAGGATGTCCAAACGGAGAGAAGAAGATGTGTGTCAACTGAACCCAGCTTATTGTGAATGTAGTCTCAGTCTGCCTGTTTGATTCAGGCACCAATTAATCACCTGCTGCTTTTCATTCACCCTCAGTGGTGAGTCCCCCCCCCTCCCCCCTCCCCTCTAGTTCTCGTCTTTACCTTCTCCCCTTCATCTCTGACAGATGAAAAGCAGAGCTGTTACATCGTGCAGAACCGGGCCATCTGAGCTGGCAGCACAGCAAAGTGTCCAAACAAACCTTTCCCCAAACACTCACCCATTCCAGCTCGGCCTAATTGGTTGCAAATGCCTTTTAGGATGAGCCAGTGATATCCGTGAGGAGTTTGTATACACAAGGCTCCGGCACTTAATCCCCCTGTGATTGTTTTTCTTTGGTTCTCCTTACCGGTAAGATCAATTCCTGTTGTTCTGACACACATGCAGCTCAATTCAGCTAGTAAACCCCAATCATGCTGGACAAGTACAGAGACTGGGATCTTTCGTCAGAGATCAAACAGACGGTATTACAATGCGCTGATGTGTGTTGGGCTGTGTAATTGGCTTCTGGTAAACATGTCTGTGGCGCTTCATGGTACAGAATGTGGCATTGATTTTTTTTTAAGTGAAACCTCTTAGATGAAGCTCTTCTCATGTTTATGTCGCCTGATTATGGTATTTTCAAAGCGTTCATTCTTAAACCCAAATCACGATGTTATCCATCTGAATGGAAGTGTTTTGTGGGTAGAAGGTCTCTGTGATAAGTGTGATAAACAATCCTGTTGTTTGTTGTTTGTGCGTTTGCATTGTGTGAGAGTCTTCATTTGTGCATTCTCATGCCTGCACTTGTGGTATTAGTCACTATGCAGACGTGTGTTGTTTTCTGTGTTATTGTTGAGTTTTTGTATATGCTCAAGATCCAAAGGCTTTATTGTCATATGCACAACAGCTAAAATGTAGTTTTGCCAATAAAAATCCAATCCAAAAATGCAACAAAACAATATACTTACTAAATAAATCCAGTGCAAGGAGAAATACAAATAATGGACACAATAGTTAAAGTCAAATCTAGAAATGACATTACATTTCACTGACGCTTTTATCCAAAGCGACTTACAATTACATTCTCCCTGGAGTAACTGAAGGCTAAGTGCCTTACTCAAGGGCACACTAGTGGTGGTGCTCCTGGCGGGATTTGAACTCACAACCTTCCGATCTTCGGCCCACCTCACTATCCATTAGACCACCACTATCACGAAATAATACATCAGTGTCAAGCTGTTGGTTATGTCTACATCCAGAAGCTGAAGAGTCATGTTTGTGACTTACCATATCAAATATATAACCCTTTCTGTTATCACACCTGTAATGGGACATTTAGAGCAGTCTGTGACTCCATTCTCAATATATCTTCATTGATATCAGCTGTCAGATTATTGGACACAGTGAAGGACAGGTGGACAGACAGTCAAACTGAGGCGAGCAGGCATTCAAACAAGAAGTAATGGAATGTTGACAGGCAACAGCCATGGTGTGAAGTAGAAAGAGAGAGAGGTTGGGGGACAGGAAGAGAGTAAAGGATGGGACTATGAGCAAGGGGGACGAGTTAAAAGCCAAGAGCGACTTTGTTTTCATCAATCTGAGATCCTTTTTGGCACGAGGAAGAGAACAAGTTGGACGGATCCAGCATAGCGTCTGAATCGTGGAGCGCGGGCAGATACCTGCACTGTGTCATCTTCAGAAGGGAGGGGGGGGGGGGGGGGGGAAGGAGGAGGAGGATGTGGGCCAGGGTCTTCCTCGCTGCCTGCCGGATCTCCTGCTGTTCACACGGAGGGGGAGGAATGTTTGTTTAAGTGGCTCCGCATGGCAACCACTTGTGAGCCCCTCCTGTGAAAGCCTCCGCTGGCTCAGCGTGGAGGTTGGGTGGGTGCATCCCCAGACGAATAAACACCGGCTGACACTTCCCTCTCCTGCCTCGCTTTAAGAACCAACTGCCTTTACCCCTTCCTGAGTGTGCCACATTACTGCACTGAAATGCTGCTAGGGTAACAAATTCATTCAAATCAAAACATAAAAGTGATGCACCATCAATGTCATCACCATCCTCGTCGGCATTGAAAAACTATTTAAAACTGATGACTCAATGCAAATAAAAACACACTTTTAATTACCCTTTACATTTCTTTGTGACATCGGTCATTTTCATTAAGATTTGAACTGACGTTTTTTTCTAGGGAATTTTCTTTACCATATATTTGCCTTCTCTTAAAACCAAAAATGTACCCTTTACGGCTCGAAATTCCTCAAAAAAATGCGTTGCCAGTAATTGACAAGAGGAAAATTCAACATTGAAAAAAGAAATCACAACCAAATCAATTGCAATTTTACAATTTGTATGGAATGACAACCTCACTGTGAAGGTACAATATTCAAAAAATGTAATCGGTCTTTCAAAAAAAGTTGACACATCCACCTTTCTCTTTCAGACATGGACGAGTGTGAGAACGACTACAACGGAGGCTGCGTCCATGAATGCATCAACATACCTGGCAACTACAGGTGCACCTGCTACGATGGGTTCATGCTGGCCCACGACGGACACAACTGTCAGGGTAAGAGCAGTCCCAGAAACACCCCTCCTGTATGTGTGTGTTCACAGAGTTGGTGAAAGAGTTGTCATGTCATGTTGTAAGACATCACATTGGTTCAAATTAGACCCCCCTAAAGGTCTCGTCGTTTTCATGATGTCTGCAAATAGCAACCCCTTTGATTTTCTATTGGCCTAAATATGACATGGGGTTTGTATCTAGATATATTGATGCTCGATTGAAATTAAGTATTGTGTGTGTGTGTGTGTGTGTGTGTGTGTGTGTGTGTGTGTGTGTGTGTGTGTGTGTGTGTGTGTGTGTGTGTGTGTGTGTGTGTGTGTGTGTGTGTGTGTGTGTGTGTGTGTGTGTGTGTGTGTGTGTGTGTGTGTGTGTGTGTGTGTGTGTGTGTGTGTGTGTGTGTGTGTGTGTGTGAGAGCCTGCCTGGCTCAGCATGCCTCTCCCCGTACAGTCCCTCTGTCATCGTTTGGAGGGTTTCCATTATCTGTGTTTCTTTTGCTTGTTTCTCCTCACTGTTGGGAGGGACGGTCGGGGTTAAAGAGTTCTTCTTCAAGGATACCTGGCTGTGCTTTATTACCAGCCCATTTAGCCTCAGTGCTGCGTTATTGACTTAGTGTCAGTCAGAGTAATGTTTTTTCTGTTCCGTGCAACACGTAGTTCTGCACGGATGTGCTCCAACACATTTCATCCCTTCAGTCCTCCACTGCTGACTGACGAGAGCAAAATAAAACCAGGAACATGTTGTTTTGGATGTGTCTTTGGTGGGATGTGTTTTGGCATTTCTAAGTGCTGTAGCTCATTCTTTGAGCCTTTGGAGAGACTAAGTGAGAGATTGAGCGCTAAAAGCAGCAGTCAGCCGTGCAGAGTAGCTGCTGAGTTGTGGATTCCCCTCACAGGGATGACTTTCAGACAGCTGATATAAAGCAGAGTTTAAGACGCTCCGTCATCAGAGTTCAAATGTTCCTCCATGCACCAACAAGGGCCAGAAATGGTCAATAAAAACCCTTTTAATATGTGATCCTTCCAACTCTGTGATTTCTATTGGATGAGTATAATTTAAACAAATATAGTATTAAAGGTTTGTTACATTTTCAAGTCTGTCCTATAACAATAGTCAGTCCTCCTGTTCATAGCCAATAACAGATAACATCCTAACATGCTTCTAATGAAAGTAATTAAAAAAAGTTGATTTAATGTCAATATATGGCTTCAGTAGTTGGTTGGGCAAATCAAGTCGGCATCTTCCAAAGCTGTTCCTAAGAGTGTTTTAGCTCAAACTTCTTCTTGTGTTTGTCTGAGCTGTCTTCTTGCTGTGCCAAGATGGAGGGATGTAACCCCAGGAAGGAAACTCCGGAAAACGTCCACCCATGCTAGAGCATCAAATTTGCTTTAAAATGAATTCAAATGAGCCCTAGACATGTATTTTGTATCAGAAAGGCCTTGATATCTTTCTTATTATATTGAAATGTTTAATTCCCATCAAGAAAATAATAATTGTATTTAAAGGCAGCATCTAGTGGTCATGAAAGGAACTGAAGAGCTTTGGCCAGAGTATCAAGAATCTAACACAATGAGGCTGATGTGAAAATCTGATCACACATACAAACACGATGGAAAGTAAACGACTATAAAAATGAGAGCGGTCTTTACAGTCTTTGAAATTGGGTCTGACAGCGTTACGTGGTGTTAATTTCCTGCGTGTTTGTCTGTGAAAAGGCCCTGTCTACAGCCGATAGCTCATTGGTTAGCGTTCTATGTGTTGTGGGTAATTGAAGAGAAGGGCTGTGAGGTTAGTGGCATTTCACCACACGTGTTTGTTCCGCTAACTCAAACAACGCAGACCAAACGAGTCGTGTGAGAACTGTCGTCACCTGCTCTTTATGGCCCGGCAACAGGAAGCCGGCCCGCGTCTGATTTGAGCACGGAGGCTCGCTTTATTGGATGTTCGCTGAGTGCAGCCTTGATTAACCTCTGCTAATTAAAAACCGGTTCAGTGAGTTCAAAATAGGCAGCAAAATATGTGTGTTCCCAATCAAAGCCGGTCCTTGACTTTTTCCATTGTTTCTTTATTTGACTCCAATTTCGTGTTGTTTATCCCTTCATTTGTCACGGTTCCATATCTCCTCATTATTCTTAAGGTTTACTGTCTTTTTTCACTTTTTTGCCTTTTTAGCTATTCTCTGTTTTCGCTTTTATTCTTTTACCCTTTAATGAATTCGTTATCCCCCATTGCTTTACTCTTGTATTCCTCTTTTCTTTCTTCATCTCACTTTGTTCTTGTTACTACATCCCTCCCTTTGTCCTTTCCTTCCATCCCACCTTATGAACTTTTTTCTTTCGTTCTATTCCATTCTTGTTTTCCATCAACCTCTCTTCATATGTTTTCTTCTCTCTGTCCTTCTCTCTCCGTTTCTTCCTCTGCTCTGTTATACTCTTCTGTCTGTCTGCTGACCTTACTAGCTTTCATCTAATTACTCAAATTGTTCTTGTGTCCTTTCCTTTTTCTTCTTGTCCCCCTTTACTTTTTAAATCTATTTGTCAGATGGTTTGCTTACTGTTTTTACTGGACGTTTAACCATCATCAGATGACAGTAGCAGAGGTACAGGCTGACTGTTCAGCGTGTTTATGGGAATGATAAAAAGACACTCTTAATGCATCTGATAAGATATTAGTCTTCTGGAATTGTAAACGTTGTTTGCTCTAAAACAAATAAAGTTAAAATGATCCATAATCTTCAAACTGTATCAGTTCTCAAAAGCACTGTGAATTTTAATAAATTGTTAACATGCAAATGTGAAAACAGTCAATACTTTAATTGCAAACATATGCATGCAGGATGTTACAGGGACTGTGATCCATGTTCTAAGTTGCTTACTGAAGTCAATGTTTCAAAAACAGACAAAACCCGCCTGTTGTAAGTAAAGGTGTTGAGATGACACAGTTTTCATGGAAGTCAGTATTTTGTGGCCTACTCTGTACACTGTTTTTCAGGTCCATTTTGACTTGCCTTTTCAGATCACATTAAATAAAATACATATAATAGCATTGCTGGAAGAGAAAAGGCAACATCCAGAAGTTGATGTTATTTAACAAGTATGATGAATGTTGTGTAGAATCTATTTTTATATAGATCTATATTTAGTCCAGAAGATATACGGCAGTGCCGATTGGGTAATGCGTTCCTGTGTATTTATATATACAGTCTATGGTATTGACTCATGGATACCATATTGTCACCATGCTCTCTGATGCTTTTTGTCTGCTGTCATCACTAACCATAGAGGTAAATAGGGCCCTGTGATGCATGGTTACCATATCAACACAACTGGAGGGACCTATTGTCAGTTTAAGAGAAGCTCCAACCCTCACGCTGCCCGTCAACAGTGTCTCACTCTCAAGTGTCTCATTCAGCAGGAGATTTACTGTATGAATGAGGGCTCACCATCACACTCTGTCATTTATACATTCAGACACTCAATTAATGCTGTCAGTCTTGTGCATACATCCACAGACAGAAAGTGTCTCGTATGACGATCTGTCAAAACACAGGCTTGGGAGTAACGGAATACATTTTTATATGAAACTGTATTCCTTACAGTTATATAAAAAAAAGTCACGTATAGCATAAGAGGGCCTCTTCTTTGCTAAAGTTACATTGTTCTGACATATTACACTTAAATCAAAGACATCCTATTGATATTTATTTCTCTATTTATCAGCGTTGCACTGGATATTGAAGTAATCCATAAGTAATCAGGTTCCCTTAGTTTTATATTGTCACACTTAGATGAACATATGTCGTAACGGAACACATTTGAAAACCTTTTGCTTTTTGCCTCATTAATTATAGCTGGTAATATATTGTCCGAAGACATGTGTTCTAATCTTTGGGCTAATCCCCAGGTGTTAAAGCAGCAACAGAATAGGAGCGAAAGACAAGACGGAATAGATGAGAGTTCACACAGGGATAATAAGAATACATAGGAGAGTAAACGGTAGGATAAACATCGAAGTTATAGATGGACAGGAAGGAGCATTGTCGTAAGTTAACACTACACGTTGGCGGTCTTAAATGTACTTGGAGTAAAATGCACAGTCAGATAGCGCAACAGCTCAATTTGAAACATCTCTGTCCTTCTTGTTTGTTTCTCTGTCAAAGTTCACACTCAATTTATCTCGCACGCTCTGGGCCTCCTTGTGGAACACAATAAAAGACCTTGTGGCTTTTAATAGACCCAAAGCATGATATTCCGAAACCTCAGAACCTTGTGGTGGTGCTGAATGAGCCTCGGATGACAAACTACACTTTAGAAAATGTGTTGAAGAAAATCATTTTGTGTGAGCCGGCAGGAAGTCACTTCATCATGTCCCAGATGCACTGTGTCAACAAGTTAAGGCACTAATTGATTTAAGATTGCATAATTGTACTCTGATTAAAGAGTGATTCCCGTTAGGTTCCTTTCTTCCTTTTGATTTTGACTTTATTTATTTTGTTTTGCCATGGACACAGCTGGGCTCAATGTGTTGATCGTTTGGTGCCCTCTGTGAATGTCTGGCGCGCTGACGTGCGTTTATTTTCCTTCCGACCCGTCCTCGGCGAGATCTGAGAGGTGGCTGCACAGCAGGGAGCCAGCGACCGCAGCGTGTCACTGAGAAGTCCGACATGTAACAGACAGGAGGAGGGAGACGAGAAGTGAGGGGGCAGATCAACTGAGGCAAAGTTTAAAAAGCACACATGGAAATATCCAATCCATCAAACCACTTGATATGTTTTAAAAATGAAGGGTTGAAAAGTTCGACAAATGACAGGATAGTTATGACATGACAAGGCTGTTTGCAAATCCCTGTTCCATATGAACACTGAAGCACATTTTTCTTTCTGTAGTATTTCCTATGTCATACTGAACGTTAAAGTTACGACGCTCATTTTCAGGTATTTTGTGCCTCTACTTTGACATGTTTACATGCGTTAATGTTCATAAAGTGCTTTATTTTTCCATTTATTGATCCATATCTTTAAGTAAAGTAAGGCCTGAGGATTGAAATATGTCCCTATCATAACATAGTTTAAAATAGTGTTGTTCAAAATTGTGCAACAACAGGGTCAGGTGAGGAACACAAGAGAGAGACATTGATGTTTGACACCCTTCGTTTTATTTTACTTCCTACTTGTGGTTTTCCCCCCAAAACATTCTCGTTATCAACATTTCCCGAAATCAATTTGAAATGTCTTATTTGAATTGTTTGCATATTTACTTAAAAGTTTTTGTTTCCCCTCGAGCCTCTCTACCATCACTTTTCACCCCTTTTTCTCTTATTCCCTTCTTATTTCCACCACCCTCCAGCCTCAATATGTCCCCCCCTCCCTCTCGATGTGTCAAGCACATCCTCGTTGTGTCTAAACAAAACTTTACGCAAGTTTACACAAGCACAATCAAACAAAACAGAGGGGCTCGCGTTGAAACTTGCAAAAATGGCCCGTGGCCTGTGTTTATGCAAAAATGTTGGAAGAGATCAATTAGACTTGGAGATGGCTACATTTTCTCTCTGTCTCTATCCCTCCGGCCTGAAAAAGAAATGCATCAGTCATATTAATGACATCTGTTAAACCATGAGATTAGCTTAAAACTGTGTTAGGAAGGGAAATGAAAACAAAGCTCAGAGTTCAGCGAGGACACATCAAGTTTTACGGCACTAATACGGTGAGATATTCCCACAGGAAGTTTATGGGTGTAATAATCCAGGATAGAATGAAAATGTAGTTATCTATAATATGTAATGATCTATAAGAACAAAACCCCCAAATGGATAACATGATAGTGGAATATTCCTCATCTCTCAATACGGTCTACACTGTTTAAGGTTCCCTCCGCTCCCTAGGGGTTTAACAAGCCCAGCACAACCTTCTTCAAGTACAAGAAATGAGTTTCAAGTAGAAATCCCACAGCGTCAGGAGCTGAGAAGGTAGATACAGCAGTGACTCCCATTAATTACGCAGACTGTGGCGGCCCACCATAGTCTAGTGGTCTGTCAGCAACCCCCCCAAACCCCTCTTGGAACACGGAGTGCTCCGTTCATCATGCTATGTGGGTGTAACTTTTGTACTGGTGTCATCACCATTAACAGTTAAAAACAAGTTATCGTTCTATATTTCAACACTTGTTTTTTTTTCTTTGGCTAAATAGATTTTGTCGAGACATAATTCATCGGCTTGAAAAACAAAGTATTAGAATGCACCAGCTAATGATGTTCAGCTGAAAGTGATTTCAGATCAGAAAACATTTTAGTTTTTGTTCTGAAAACATCTACGCACCACATTGTAGTTGTTTCATGTTAACAACTTGTTGATGTCATACCAATCAGGCACAATTAAGGCCACATTTATTTCAAACATAAGGAGCAAGGAAGTGAGCAGTTACTCTAAATGCAAATCTTATGTACCTGGTGCCAATAGAATCTTACATCTATAAATGTATATACATGAACTGTAGGCCGCGTTATTAAAAACTGCAATGTCACAAATAGCTTTCCAAAAGAGTGGACTAAAAGGCCTTGTAGACAGGTGCTTATGTGGAAAGAGGAATTCAAAAGATCCTTGATTGATTTAATAGTGAGGAGCTCTGCCTGCAGCTCCTTGCCCTTAATGGCTTGGTTTTCAATGGCGAGTAGGTGTTAACATGTTTTGAAGCCTTTGCAGCCTCACCATTAGGACTGACTGTTCCTCGCTGCTTTATAACACTAACTTAAAGAGACACATCGGCCCAGGATAGATGTTGAGACACCCTATCCCAATCCTTTCTGATATAGCTGCGTCTTTCGGCAGCTGCGTCTAGCATTGTATCTTGTGGGGAGAAAGTTTCCGATGTATACAGCTCTATTATCCATTCTTCAAAACAAATATTTTGTATATATAACATATTTCAACACCATAAATGCCTTCCAGGACAGACTGCCCAAATTGAGCAAAATGACCCCTTATAGAACGGTGAGGCTAAATGGAACTGTGTCCCTAGTTCTGCTTATGTCCTGGCTTGATAGTCATCATTATATAAAAGCTAATGAAGGCTGAGGTCGAACACAATCAATTATCAAAGCCGCGTTGTGTATACATTTGAGATCAGCTGTGTTCCTTTTCGTCTCTCTGTATGTCATTTGGTCCTTCCTCGCAGTACGTCTATGTTTGTGTAACCTGTCTGAACTGTCTGCTTGGTCAACCTCAGAGACTCAGACTAAGTACAAAGGAAAGTCATCATGGTCAGGCACTGGGTTTGGACACACACACACACACACACACACACACACACACACACACACACACACACACACACACACACACACACACACACACACACACACACACACACACACACACACACACACACACACACACACACACACACACACACACACACACACACACACACACACACACACACACACACACACACGGGCAGTCCTGTTTGATCCCTGGGTAAAAGTCAGTGGAGGGTGTTACATGTTTGCAGTTCACTTGAGCCCCATCAAAATGCCCCATTGGAAATGTACCGACCTTTCAGCGGTCAGTGGGGCCCCGCAAACACACTCTTGTGCACATACTGTAGATGTTCACGTTGTCAGACCCCTGTAAACACCTAATGCCAGGATTGGATGCCTGTAAGGAAACCCTGTCCTTGTGTGTGTGTGTGTGTGTGTGTGTGTGTGTGTATGTCATCCCTTTCATCGGACATTTCCCGACACATAAACTCTCATTGACTCATGTTTTGTTTATGACGCCTAATAGGCTGCTATTCTACCATAGCTGACCCTCTCTCTCTCTCTCTCTGTGTCCAATCCCACCAGATGTGGACGAGTGTGCGGACAACAACGGTGGATGCCAGCAAGTGTGTCTCAACACCATGGGGAGCTACGAGTGTCAGTGCACACATGGCTTCTTCCTCAGCGACAACCAGCATACCTGCATCCACCGCTCTGATGGTAAGACTGAAACACTCACACTGTTCTGTTAGAGCTGTTCTCTTACACTCTCAGGAGACTTGAGAGAACATGTGAAGCTTTATTTCAGGGTTATGTAAAGCTACTTGATGTTCCATGCTCACTTTATTACTAAGCAAAGGGTTTAAAGTGTCTAACATGTTTTGTGGTAACTGGACCTGAGTGACCTTGAGTTTGAGTAATGTTATGCTAAGTCATTAAAAAGATATCAACAGATGGATGCTGTAGTTAAGGAAGAGTTGTTTGTCCCACTGTGTTTGATTGGATATGTAAAAGACAATTTAATGCAGATTTATTGGGAATATGATAAAAGGCTCACACACACCTCCTGTATATGAGCAAGACACTTAGACTACGCGATTTTTCGTAGCTGCATCGTTTGTAGTTGTTTGTGTCTTTCTGTAGCTGCTGTGCCTGTGTCCTATTACTGTAACTCTCCAACAAGAAGAGGCACTTAAAGCAGGGACACTTTGGGCCCCTGATCCTGTGCCCATTCAGTGATCAATTCAGGCTCTTTGTGTTACAGGTACTACTGGTCTTTAGGAGTGGAAACAAAACACATTTTTGGTTAGCAAAATATCAGTCCACTCAACAAGATACTATCCATGTGTCTATAAAATGGTTTGATCCCTTGTGACATTATAAAGCCATTGCTCTTTGCTGCCGACTCATAACCTCCTCTCTGGATCACAAGTTGACGTGGGATTCGACGGCCCTTACATCATATGTTTCGCTCGGTCAGTCGCTCTCCACTCCCACAGTGGCATTGTACTTCTTTTAAAAATCATTTGACCCCCCTCTACCCTGGCATCCCTGACCCATTACGCCTGTCACGTTTAATTTATGGGCTCATTCTGCCGCGGCGAGGGGTGCTGAAGGAGGAGTGATCCCGAGGTGAGGCAGGGTTGTCGTCTCCTTCCCTCTTCACTCACACGCACATTCTCTAAGCACAATGCTCACATCCATGCGGTGGTGAATGGGGACAGTGTGGACGTGGAAGTTCAAAGACAGATGAGAGGACAGTCATCCGTCATCCTTGCGATGGCACAGAAAGGAGACGCAGGAGGAATGTGGTGAGAGATGAAGAGTGAGGGGGAGGAGAGAGGGATCAAATACAGGAAGAGGCTGCTACAGAGTGACCTCTTCTCTATCCTCTTCTCCCTGTTAGTGTGCTCAGAGTGAAGGCGTGTTACGAGGCAGAATGTTAGAGGATCCTCTGTTGAGACGTTCAGAAAAAGAGGTAGAAGAGATGCAGAAATAGAAGTGTGTTTGCTCACTGGAAACCCCATAAACCAGCTTGTGAATATATCTCCTTTTCCCCTCTCTTCTCCTCCCCTTAAAGGGGCCCTATCATGCTCATGTTCAGGTTCATATTTGTATTTGTGTCTCTACTGTGACATGTTTAACTACTTTAATGTTCAAAAAGCTCTTTATATTTCTCATACTGCCTGTGCTGCAGTACCTCTTTTCACCCTCTGTCTGAAACCAGAGCACAGACTGCTTTGATTGGTTAGCTTGCCGGCTCTGTTGTGATTGGTCAACCGCTAAGAGATGTCCCGCCCCTGAGCCTATCACGTATTGTGTTGGAGCGCAAGCCAATACAAGCGGGAGTGTTACAGTGTGATGTCATTATGTGTTAGGGAAATAAACTCCCTCTGGAGGGAACATTGGGATTTGAGCCTTTGCAGACCATTGACATGCAACCTATATAACACACTACAGGAAAGGGAAAGCCCCCAAAAAACATAATGCCTCTTTCTGAGACAGCCATTGAGAGTTTTAACTGTGTATTTACAAAAGAATCAGACCACAAATTAAATATGCAATAGTTTTTCCCCATTGAAACATTTCATATTCCTTATGCTTTGAGAAAAGGCTTGCTAAGCCATACATTTGAGTGAATCAATTTCAATGTCAAAGCAGTTCCTGTGTCAATATGTGTAATTCCTGCTGCTGTCAGACGGATGTTCACGGTCAGCACGCAGTGAAGATGCTTGTGGTGTGTTCCTGGTACTCTGGCAGGCTTCTTGAGCCTTCAACCACAGCCCCCACCCCGTACAGAGATCCTCAATCAGACACTTGTCTCCTCTCATTCATCCCGCACAGGAATAGCAGCAGCATCCCGGTGTCCCACAGGAATCTCCTCGCACATGATTTTTTTCCATCTTCCCAACCGTGGCCCGCTTCTCTTCATCTTGTCTCTTTTTAATCCCTCTCTTTATTTCTTCTTCGAAAGGCTTTAAACCAGATAACTCAATCTGACAAGATACAGATATTCACATACTGTACTATATTAATCTTACACATTAACCTATGTGATGAGATATAAGGCTTTAAAAAAGTGAAGAACACAACAAGAGAACATTCTTTTGCATTTTAAATAGGCCCTATTACGCTTTTTGGGGGTTTCCCTTTCCTGTAGTGTGTTATATAGGTTTTTGTGCATGTAAATGGTCTGCAAAGGCTAACATCCCATAGTTCCCTCCAGAGGGAGTTTCCCTCCCACACTCTCCCCCCTATATTCCTCCATTTACCTCCAACAACAACCTGTGGAGAGCTACAGAGCTTTTGATTGGCTTGTATGCAATGATGTGTATCCTGGCAGGTCTGCTTGTTATTGACCCCCAGAGACCGTCTGCTATTAATCTCACCTTTACGTACCATATTTACCATAAGTGCAACAGAAGGGATTCCTAGGCTACAACCAGCTTCGCAAATTATAGTCTATTAGATAAAAATGATCCCAAACGCAGCTGTTGTGTGTGTACGTTTGAGAAGGAGAGAGACAGTTTGTGTTAGATTGTTGCTTTGCATGTGGTGAGTGTCAGCTCACGGCTCATTTCTTTCTCCCTGACACTCGCCTGGAGGATAATAAAGCCTAGCAACAATTGTTTGTTCCATTATGGTTTGTTTCCACTCTGTTGTGCCTCACAGCTCTGTCTGAAGCGCATCCAGGCAAGAACTTGACTCCCGATCTCGAGTTTGGAAACAGCTCTCGCAGTGAATGTTCCTGATCTGTCATGATGTGGGAGGGCTGTGACCACATGAGTCAGGTATGGCTAACAGGCCCAACGCTGACATGCATGTAGAGTGGAGAAGCTCACATCCTGTTTGGACCATTTGGGGATCTCTAAAATGGCTATCTGGCTCATCACTGAACATTTTTGCGTTACCTGCTGCCCTTGACAAAGTATTTAAAAGACTGAGATTATGCCATCAACAATCGTAGCATAGGTGTGTGTGATTTGCAGCAGCAGTGCAGAGTTGGAATAGTTGCAGTATGAAATATCAAACTGATGCCTCCAAGTTAACCGGGGCTGTACCTTACGTCTGATTTATTCATGGTAGTTAATGTAATCCTCGCCAAAACAGAGTGAAAACAATACGCTTGTAAATTCTCCTCCAAGCTCAACACCAAAGTTCCTGGCAGAGTTGGAATTGGCAGAAAGTTGGGAATTTTAAACACTTGGTCTCATGCGGACGCCTTGCCTGGCACTGCAAGATCATTTTTGGTCGCAGTAGTCTCTGGGAATGTAAAAGAAAACGCTTACTAGGAGATGCTTAATAGTAGATTGTGGGGAAGAAAGATTTTGACAAGAAAACTATTCAAAAACGTGTAAAATGTAACTTCAAAATAAAATATTTCCCACAGTATTAGGATTACGTGTAGAAAATGTAACTTTGGCTTATTTTGAAGCTGCATTTTTCAGATTGCCTCATGTTCAAGGTTTTCCCCACAGTTTAAACCATCTTTATGGCCCGTGCATGTAAACACAATACTGGGTGAAGAAACTGACCCGTCTGCAGCTCTAGAAGGCGGTATGTGATGGCAGGCATCACAATTAGCGGTATGCTATGTTGCTCCAACATGCAGGGATCAATTCAGTGCAGTGGAGTATTAGTTACATATTTATCGTGCTTCTCAATGTAACGGGATAACTTAAATAACAATTGTTTTGATTAATCTGGGGTTTTTTCTTCATAAATTAAAATAATACAAAATACTCACATTTAAAAAAAATCCAAGGTGATGCCTTCAAACTCCTCCAGTAAAATGTCAAGAATCCAAATATATTGTCAAAACAAATGAGATAGCAGCTTAAGAAACATCCCCTACCCATTTGTATCCAAGTAAACCTTTATTTATTGATTCCACAAAGCACCGTTTATTTTGCATTTATTCATATTTATTATGGTTTATAACATAATGTAAGCAGATACACAGTCGTTTTAGAGGCATTATAAATATACAGAATTGACCAGGAATCGTGTCTCTTACTAAGACACTCTTTGTATTATTACAAAGGTACAACTACAGAATACTGTTTTCATGAATTATTTTTTTATATATTGCTTGTGTATGCCTAAACACAAAGAGCAATGTTGTGAAATAATAAACTATACAGTGTACAATGTGTTGAGAGGGAGGCAAATAGAGCAATGGATTGTGGGAGAATGGGATGGGGGAGTTGTGAATTGGGGGGGAAGAGAAAAATAAACACAGAGACAAACATAGTGGAGTGAACCAATGGAAGCTGCATGCGTTTATTTGGAGTTGTGTAAGGAGAGGAAGCAGACACACACACACACACACACACACACACACACACACACACACACACACACACACACACACACACACACACACACACACACACACACACACACACACACACACACACACACACACACACACACACACACACACACACACACACACACACACACACACACACACACACACACACACACACAGACACGCATTCATGCACAAAAACTCACAGACTGGCACGCCGCACTCTTCACGGAGAAGGAATTCTCACTTTAAACAAACCAAGGCAGGAAATTGGAGGTACAGGGAGCTTTTAAATGCCGGCCCGGGGGCATGTGGGAACTCTTAAGTACAGGGAGCTCTGTCTAACCTGGCTGTTATCATCATCAATTACAAACATCATCAAAAGCCAGAAACCATCCACCTGTCA